AGGCGGTGGTCAAAAGCAAAACACTAGTGAAGGGGGAAAGGAAAAAGGAGAAAGAAAAGCATAAATGGGGGAAAAGGATGGAGAAAAAGACACAGATAGTAATCATAACTGTGAATGTGAATGGGATGAACTCTCCCATAAAACAGAAATGGATTGCAGAATGGATTAAAAACCATAATCCTACAATATGTTGTTTACAGGAAACACATTTGAAAAAGAGTGACACATACAGGGTAAAGGTAAAAGGCTGGAGCAGAATATATTATGCGTCAGCTGAAGTAAAAAAAGCAGGGGTAGCAATCCTGATCTCAGACAAAGCAAAAGCAAAAATAGATCTAATCAAAAGAGATAAGGAAGGAAACTACATCCTGCTAAAAGGCACCATAGACAATGAAGTAATATCATTACTAAACATATATGCACCAAATGGTATAGCATCCAAATTCTTAGAGAAGTTCAGGGAGTTACAGGAAGAAATAGACAGCAAAACTATACTAGTGGGGACCTGAACCTCCCCCTCTGCACTAGATAATCTAACCACAAAATAAACAAGAAAGAAGTTAAGGAGGTGAATAGAACATTAGAAAAGTTAGGTATGATAGACCTCTGGAGAAAACTGAATGGGGATAGAAAGGAATATACTTTTTTCTCAGTACATGGCACATACACAAAAATTGACCATGTACTAGGGCATAAAAACCTCACAATCCAATGCAGAAAGGCAGAAATATTAAATGCATCCTTTTCAGATCATGATGCAATAAAAATTATATGTAATAAAGGGCCATGGAAAGATAGACTAAAAAATAATTGGAAACTAAATAATCTAATCCTAAAAAATGATTGGGTCAAACAACAAATCATAGAAACAATCAATTTCATTCAAGAGAATGACAATAATGAGACAACATACCAAAACTTATGGGATGCAGGAAAGCAGTTCTTAGGGGAAGTTTTATATCTCTAAATGCTTACATAAATAAAATAGAAAAAGAGGAGATTAATGAATTGGGCATACAACTAAAAAAACTAGAAAAAGAACAATTAAAAATCCTCAACTAAACACCAAATTAGAAATATTGAAAACCAAAGGAAAAATTAAGAAAATTGAAATTAAGAAAACTATTGAACTAATAAATAAAACTAAGAGCTGGTTTTATAAAAACCCAAAAAAACTAGATAAACCTTTGGTTAATTTAATTAAAAAAAGAAAGAAGAAAACCAAATTACTAGTATCAAGAATGAAAAGGGTGAAGCTACCACCAAGGAAGAGGAAATTAAAACAATAATTAGGAATTATTTTGCCCAACTATATGCCAACAAATTTGACAATCTTAGTGAAATGGATACATATTTACAAAAATATAAATTGCCCAGATTAACAGAAGAGGAAGTAAAATACTTAAATAACCCCATCTCAGAAAAAGAAATTGAACAAGCCATTGATGAACTCCCTAGGAAAAAATCTCCAGGGCCAGATGGATTTACATGTGAATTCTATCAAACATTTAAAGAGCAATTAATTCCAGTACTATGTAGAAATACTATGGGAAAATAGGTGAAGAAGGGGTCTTACCAAATTCTTTTTATGATACAAATATGGTGTTGATACCCAAACCAGGAAGAGTCAAAATAGAGAAAGAAAATTATAGACCAATTTCTCTAATGAATATAGATGCAAAAAAAAACAAAATACTAGCAAATAGATTGCAGCAACTTATCACAAGAATAATACACTATGACCAGGTAGGATTTATACCAGGAATGCAGGGTTTTCAATATTGGAGAAAAACTATCAGCATCATTGAGCATATCAACACAAAACCAACAGAAACCACATGATCATCTCAATAGATGCAGAAAAAGCTTTTGAAAAATACACACCCATTCCTATTAAAACACTAGAAAGCATAGGTATAAATGGAGTCTTCCTTAAAATAATAAATAGCATCTATCTAAAACCTTCAGCAAGCATTATATGTAATGGGGACAAGCTAGAAGCATTTCCAATAAGATGGGTGAAACAAGGATGTCCATTATCACCACTGTTATTCAATATTGTACTGGAAACTTAGCTTTAGCAATAGAGAAGAAAAAGAAATTGAAGGCATTAGAATAGGCAAAGAAGAAACAAAGCTATCACTCTTTGCAGATGACATGATGATATACTTAGAGAATCCTAGAGAATCAAGTAAAAAACTACTTGAAATAATAAACAACTTTAGCAAAATTGCAGGCTATAAAATAAACCCACATAAATCATCAGCATTTCTATATATTACCAACAAAGCCCAACAGCAAGAGATAGAAAGAGAAATCCCATTTAAACTTACTGTAGACATTATAAAATATTTAGGAGTCTACCTCCGAAACAAACCCAGGAACTCTATGAACACAATTACAAAACACTTTTCACACAAATAAAATCAGATCTAAATAATTGGAAAAACATCAGTTGCTCATGGGTAGGCCGAGCTAATATAATAAAAATGACAATCCTACCTAAGCTAATTTACTTATTCAGTGCCATACCAATCAAACTACCAAAAAATTATTTTATAGAGTTAGAAAAAATAATAACAAGATTCATTTGGAAAAACAAAAGGTCCAGAATATCAAAGGAACTAATGAAAAGAAATGCAGGGGAAGGTGGCCTAGCAATTCCAGATCTTAAATTGTATTATAAAGCAGCAATCATCAAAACTGCTTGGTACTGGCTAAGAAATAGGGAGGTGGATCAGTGGAATAGGTTAAATATGCAAGACACAGTAGTCAATGACTATAGTAATCTATTATTTGATAAACCCAAAGACCCCAGCTTCTGGGATAAGAACCCACTCTTTGAAAAAAACTGCTGGGAAAACTGGAAAAGAGTATGGCAGAAACTAGGCATAGACCCAAATCTCACACCATATACCAAAATAAAGTCAAAATGGGTTCATGACTTAGATATAAAGGCTGATACCATAAGTAAACTGGGAGAACAAGGAATAGTTTACCTATCAGATCTATGGAGAACAGAAGAATTCATGACCAAACAGGAGATAGAGAACATTATGAAAAGCAAAATGGATAATTTTGATTACATTAAATTGAAAAGTTTTTGCACAAACAAAGCCAATGCAACTAAGATTAGAAGGAAGGTAGAAAATTGGGAAAGAATTTTTACAACCAGTCTCTCTGATAAAGGCCTCATTTCTAAAATATATAGAGAATTAAGACAAATTTATAAGAACACAAGCCATTCCCCAATTGATAAATGGTCAAAGGATATGAACAGACAGTTCTCAGATGAAGAAATTAAAGCCATCTATAGTCATATGAAAAAATGCTCTAAATCGTTATTGATTAGAGAAATGCAAATCAAAACAACTCTGAGGTACCACATCACACCTATCAGATTGGCCAACATGACAAAACAGGAAAATGATAAATGTTGGAGAAGATGTGGGAAAATTGGAACACTAATACATTGTTGGTGGAGTTGTGAAATGATCCAACCATTTTGGAGAACAATTTGGAACTATGCCCAAAGGGCTACAAAAATGTGCATACCCTTTGATCCAGCAATAGCACTTCTAGGGCTATATCCCAAAGAGATCAAACAAATGGGAAAAGGACCCACATGTACAAAAATATTCATAGCAGCTCTTTTTGTGGTGGCAAAGAATTGGAAATTGAGAGGATGCCCATCAATTGGGGAATGGCTGAGCAAGTTGTGGTATATGAATGTAATGGAATACTATCGTGCTATAAGAAATGATGAACAGGCTGACTTCAGAAAAACCTGGAAAGACTTATATGGTCTGATGCTGAGTGAAGTGAGCAGAACCAAGAGGACTTTGTACACAATAACAGCCACATTATGCAATGACTAATATTGTTAAACTGAACCCTTCTCAGCATTAAGGATCTAAGACATCTCAGAGGCTGGATGGAAAATGCTGTCCACATCCAAAGAAAGAACTATGGAAGTCGAATCCTATCACTTATTTTTACCTTCTGTTGAGTTTTGTTTCATCTTTCTGATGGTTCCTCCTATTGGTTTTAATTTTTACTTACAACTTCACTAATGTGAAAATATGTTTAATGGAATGTAAATGTAAAGCCTATATCAGATTGTGTGCCATCTTGGGGGGTGGGGGGAAGAAGGGGAGAAAAATTTTCAACTCAAAAGCATATGGAAGTGATTGTTGATAAATCAAAAATTAATTAATAAAATTTCTAATTAATTAATTAATTAATTAAAAACAAAAGAAGGAAAAAACAACAACCCAGAGCTGAGTCGATACTTTGAAATATAAACACAGTATTTAGATGCTATGCCATTACTAAATGGTATATGTACAAACACATACATCCATATATGCACACACATACACATGTAACATACATATTATATATATATATATATATTATATATACTTATATATATATATATGTGATATATACACCTATGTGTATACATGCATATACGTGTGGATATATTTATATATGTATATTTATATAGTATATCTATAAGCATGTATAGATATATATGTATATAGTTATACACATGTACATGCATATAAATGTGTGTATGTGTGTGTCTGTGTGTGTGTGTGTGTGTGTGTGTGTGTGTATGAGCCTTGTCTGTAAAATGAGCTAGAAAGGGAAGTGTAAAACAACTCCAGTATCTTGTTAAGAAAACCCTGGCTTTCCAGGAGACGTCTAACACTCAACACATCAAAACAGAGCTCATCTTTCCCCCCAAAGTTCTCCCCTTTCCCAAACTTTTCTATTTCTATCAAAGCTGCCACCAACCTTCTAGTTTCCTAGGATCATACACTTGGTGTCATTTTTGATTCCTCATTCTTTCTCACCCCACATCCAGTCACCAAATCTACTTCTTTTCTACCTCCATGTCTCTCACATCTGAGGCATTCTTTCTACCTATACAGGCAGCTTCTTAGTTCGGGCCTTCGTAAGCTCGTGGCTAAATTATTGCAATAGCCTCCTACCTGGTCTCCTTGTCTCAAGTTTCCTAGCATTCTAGTCCTTAAAATGAGGTGATTGGATTAGGTGATTTCTAAGGCCCCTCTGAATTCTACAGCTATGAACCTATTGTGATGCCACAGTAACTGTAGTTTGAGGTTGGGAGGAAGTGAGATCAGAATATCTAATGCTGGAAATAGCATACAATGTGAAGAAAGACATGAAGATCAGATCAAGCTGAATAAAAATGGAGAACAGTGAGCAGGGTAAAGAGAATCAAGATTATAGCCCTAGGTAATGAGAACCTAAAAATATGGAAATAATTCAATTCAATATGTATTAAGCACTTAATATATATACAATATTAAGTTCTGGGGTTATGAAAATGAAATAAAATTTTACTAACCCTGTGGAGTTTATAATCTAATTGTGCAGATAATACATGTATATGAATAATTATGACAGCACAGAAAATGATTAGTGAGAAAGAGAGATAAAGATAAAATTCTATGAGAAATTTGAGGAAGGGGAAATTGCTTTCAGCTAAAAGAATCAGGGAACATTTCTGGAGTCAGGAAGACCTGAGTCTAAATCTGGCTTCAGTTTTCTTATTTGTAAAATGGGCATAATAAAAGTATTTACCTTAAAAGGTTGTTGTAAGGATCAAATGATAACATTTGTAAAAAGCTTTGCAAATCTTAAAGTACTATTAAATTCTAACTGCTCTTATTATAATTGTCATGATGATAATAGTAATTATTATTATTATTATCAACTCATCTGCACTGGTACTTCTAGGAAGAGCTGGGTTCCAATAAGCAGTGATTAGACTGGGAAGGAAGATAAGTAGAGTCCATTCCAATCATAAGCAGTGCATAGACCTGCGGCTCCTATTCATGTAGATGGCATGAATCACAAACTGTTTTAAGATGTCAGAAAGACATTTTCATACCTTATTCATACATTGTCTCTTTTGATCATCACAACGACCCTATGAGGCCAATCAGATATTATCTCCATTTTGCAAAAGAAGAAACTTAGCGTTACTGTGCTTAAATAACTTGCTTATAACCACATCAATATAGGTTTCAGAGATAGTGTTCAAATCCTGTTTCCTCCTGGCTCCAAATCTGGAATTCTTTCCATTACAGCAAGCTACCTATGTAAATTCTCAGGCATAGCCTTCTGGAGCTAATATTATATGAAAGTACCATGGGGAGGGGTGTATGGGCAAGAATTTTGATGAACAAAGTCATACATTTTCTAGGTAGGATGGTCCTCTAAGTGAGCCTGCTACTTTACCCCAATGTAGCATATGGCTCAACTCTGAATTGAAGAAAAAATGTTGCCCTACTGAGACATCAACTACTATTTCTTTCAGAATCCAAAACTTTCCCTGGAATGTGAGTAAATACACACTTTGAAAGGGGAAGGCTCCCTCTCAGTCTTGGTATGGTCCAAGGATTGTCACCATGTCCCTGCCAACAATCTGGCTGGTTAAAAACTGCCTCTAAAACTGCTAGCTGCTAAAGAAATGTTCACCAAGTCAGAAATTTCCTTGTTGCCTAGAAACCGTTTTCACTTGGCCACTGTGAAGGCATTTAGGTCACCAGTGAATTAATCCCTTTAAAATTATAGCAATGTTGCCAATCACAAATCCTCTACTGCCCACTGAGAATTGGAAATGCAATGCTTAACTCATGTGTGGGGAGTTTAAACTGAAAGATCTGCTTTTAAAGAAATTCTATGGAAATAAGACAATATGATTTTATAATTAGAAATTTTATGACCTATAGCCAAATATTTCTTGCTGTTGTCTGTACTAGTAAGCCCTGGGGGCAGAGGACATATGAATCAAGTCAGTGTTTGTGTGCTGTTCCCACTCTAAAAGAATGTGGTACAAAATGTCCATATCCTCTTCCAAATAAAATCAGGAAAATAATGATTTAATCCCATGGAATTATTGGGCTTATTGAGGGTGCTACTTGGGAAGGTTCAGAGAAATGCATTTCAAGTCATTTGTGTTTCAGGAGGAGGAAGATTCCAGGCTATATTTTACAGGCCATGCAGATATTATAGGCTGACCAAGAATCAGCCCAGATGGATGCAATGAGGTTGCCTGAATTCAGCATAGCTGCTTTTCAAGACACAGTTGCATGATGGGAGTCGTAAGCTCTAGTTCACAAAATTACAAGATCTTAGACCTGGAAGTGACCTCAGAGGCCATGAACTATTACCACCTATAGTTGATCTAGAGGCCCTCATCCACATTCCAAACAAGGGGTCAGGCAGGCTTTGCTTGACCTGGCATGAAGGAGGGCTTACTATGTTCTTAGAGAAACACTGTACTCTTGGATAAATCAAATTCTTAGGAAATGTTTCTTTCAGCAATTTTAATCCTGGCACATAGTAAATAAGCTTTTTATCAATCCCTGTTGGCTGATGGCCTACCTTCTATAGCCAAGAGAAATGATCCAAACCCCTTTCCACATAATAGTCATTCAAATACTTGAAGACTATTTTCTTGTTCCATCCCAAAATCTTCTCCAGGCTACAGATCCCCAGTTCTTTACTTCCAAGCACAGTGCTTTGCCCTTTGTTAGGGAATACAGACTAGACCTGTGATTTCATTGATACAGGAATCTCCTTATTGAGGCACTGTTTCTACCTCCTTAGCAACTTAAAATCTTAAGAGAATTGCCTACAACATGAAGAGGTTGACTTGCCCGGGCTCACAAAACCAATGTGTTAAGAGCCAAGGATTTCTGGGCTCTCAGGCTTGCTCTCTGTACTTCACTAAACTGCTTCTCACTTTGCTTATAGTAAAATAAATGCTTATTCAAATTAATTAAATTTGACCATTTCTTATAGTTCTTTTGTTCATATGATATTGAAGTGGCTAGGCTGATATTTTTGAAACATGATCTAAAAGGATCTCTCTGATTAGTCTAATATCTCCACAGTGAAGCTTCCTTTCTTCTCTGACCCCACACCATTGACAGGTCATCAATGGCTCCCTAATTGCAAAATTCATAACATTGTGCATGTCATAGCCTTAATAAATGTTTGCCAACCGAATAGATGATCATACTCTAGAACCCATGACTCACACATAACACTACTATCATTATGTTATACATAAAGCTCGCTATACATATGTAAAAGTAGGAAAATAAGTCATTGAGTGAATTTGCTGATGTTCCCACCAAACATGGTTTGAACCCATAGCTCTTTTGCAGTAGGAAGCCTGGGCAGAAAGGCTCAGGAACAGGAGGCAGTAGCTAGTCAAAGAAACAAAGATGCTATTAATTCTGTCTATGGTTTAAACATGTGACCTAACTCAACTCTCTTATGCCAGTCTCTAAATTTAAAAGTATGCTATGTAGTTATAGTAAACAGGCTAAATTCACTCAGAGCTTTGGTTCAGTTCGTTATATATTATTGTACTGCTTCGCATTTGTGAGATGGGAGAAATCACTGAGTACAGAAGGCATGGAAGGGCTGTAGGCTATGAAAACAGAGGAAGCAAGCAAGCTGAAACAATGTCGGAAAGGTTTTGAGTTGGGTACTAGCAATAGACCAAGTCGACTCTCTCAGTATTAGCCTGGGTAAATATGGAAAGGCTCATCTCCATAGAGTGGCTACTATGGTAAGGCCAAGAAACAAAGAAAAATAAATAATGGCTTTCATCTCTGTGCTTTGTCAGGTAGCATGATTGCAAACCATCCTGTTTTTGGATTCCCTTGGTGAATAGTAACTTTTTTTTCTATTCCCTTAATTTTGTTTTGTGAATATTTCTATTTTTAAAACATGTTTCTTGTAAGCCACAGATTGTAGGCTTTTGTTTCCTTATCCAATGTCAATCTTTTTCTTCACCTTAATGAATTGTTTAATCCATTCATATTTAAAGTTATGAGTCAGACTTATGTTTTCCTCCATTTGTCTCTAATAATGGTTATTTTTTTTTCAAATTGTGATTATAAAACTTGAAAAAAATCACACACACAAATTGATTCACCTATAGGTTGGGTGTTGCTATTCTGTCTGCAGTGCCCCAGATTTGCCTCTTCACTACTGCCTCCACAGAACTTCTGCCTTCATCCCGGCTTCTTGTGTATGTTTAGAAAAAAGTTTCTACTGGTCACTCTCTGCTGTCACCTTTGAGGCTGCATTTATTCACTCCTCCTGCATCTCTGTTGTTTGGAGGTGTTTGTAAAGTAAATAATCTCTTCAGTTCTGGAATTCTTTCAAAAAATGTTTCAGAAGCCTATTTATAATTGATAATCCATTTTTTTTCCATTTGTGGTTAAGCTCAGATTTGCCCAGTGGGTCACCCTGGGTTGCATCCTGAGCTCTATTGCTCTTCAACACACATTATTCCATTTCCTCCTACATTTTCTGATGGGTGAAGAATAGTCTTGCACTGCTTGTATTTCCCTTCCTTTTTATTTGGCAGTCTTTTCCTTGATATTTGCAGAACTTGTTTCTGAACTGAATTGTTAGATTTAACCACCCTGTGTCTTGGAGTTTTTTCTGGAGGCGATCTGTGAGGTGGGGTGCAGTTCTCTTCTATTATTTCCTGCATTATGACGTTAAAGTTTTTTGTCCCTTCATGTTCTTCTGGGAGACCTATGGTGATTAGGGTGCCTTTATGTATTCTATCTTCAAGATCAGTATGTTTTGCTTGCATAATGGGCATATTTTCATTTTATTTTGTTTTATTTTATTTTTTGCTTGTCTTCTTCTATATTGTCCTTCCCTTCTGTGTATTTGCATCTTCAATCTATTATTCTCTCTTTTGTTTCTTTGGTAAATTTTGCATTGCAGATTTCAGTTTTTTATTCTGCCCATTGTTTTTGCAGTGCAGGACACAAATTCTGCTCTCATAATTCTCATTTCTCTTTTGAACTGCTCAGGAACAGGGTGTTGTGGTTCCACATCCCCTTCATATTCCAAAATGTCCTTTGTCTCATCAAATGTTGAATCATTTTCCTTTGTTTTGCAGGATTTATTCATAGATGTCTGCACTTACTTACTAGATTTGTAAGCATTTCCTTCTTATGGTACTGTTCTCTCTTGATTTCACCTGCTTGTGTTCAAGGTC